ACCCTTTGTTAATGCCCGTATTGGTGAAAATTAGCAAAAAATGCGTTTTACTTTGCATTGTTCCCTTTCATTGCTTTCGCAACGAATTTCTCCTTAGACGACTTGCTCAGAATGAGTAGAGGAAGAATCCAGACAACGTCGCAGGATACACGAGCGACAGTGCGGGAGTAAAGATTCAAACGACGCAGCAAAAATCAGATCGGCGTCGATGTCCAACATAGGTATCTTTTCAGAAAGAAAAATTCGTGGTTCATGTTCAATCCATTTGTTGACAAGTTTCCCTTCTTTAAGGCTTCTAATCATCGCCACAGCTAAACACCGGGGAAAATTCTGCTCCACCCCTCTCTTCTGCTTCCCCTCCCCCTCCCTCTCCTCCCTTCTCCCCCTCCCCACCCAGTTTAACTGGGAGTCCTGAGAAAGAAAGCTTTGCTCAACCACCATAAATGATTAATATCTGGTAGTATGCATTCCTCTGCTTTCTACGAATTTTCACGTTGATTTGCTGCATATTTCTTGATTTCCATGTATTTTTCTCAAACGACCTTCACTTTTTGATGGGGACGGAAGCTCAAACACCTATCACTTTCCAGGCTCTATCTCTTGACTGTCGGAGGTATAGCCTGGGTGCATGCTATGACAGGCGCCGGACTTATCAATGAACTGACCAATAGAAAAAGTAACATTTGTAGGTGGCAGCGCCTTGCTCGACAAGAAAAGTGAATATTTACTGTTGTATTGGTAAAACCATCCTCGCTACCATTAAATTTTGCGAGGGACTGACAATGAGCAACACTGCAACCGATGAAGTGCTGTCTCATTGCTGAAGTAAGCTATCAAATCAATGATAATAAACGCACGCAGCACTTCAAAAATTATAAGCTGGTGTAGTCTATTCATTTTACTCGGTCGCGTTGCTATGTCAGTATTCCAAAACTATGCCACTATGCTAACAAAAAGTTATATTGGCGCTTTCAGAGCATGTGCATCATTATCAAGTATATGTACATTGTGATGGAGATCATATGGCCGCCAAGGATACCCTTACGATGTGAGCCATATCGCGTGAAAAATATGCTGCCTTCATATGGTTTAATCCCAGACGAAGTCTCAGACTCTGAAGGCACGTAGACTAAAATGAAAAATCGACGGTCGTCGTTAGAACAGAGTCTGAGTTTTCAGAAGATGCGCCAGGCCTTGTTGATATTGGAACTGATCGTGAGAAGGGCGGTCTTACAAATGAAAGCAAGGAAAGCCGTGAAATGGAATCCACTGTCAGGGTACATTTGACAGATGACAAAGGCGGCGACGGCGGCACTATTGAGAACGTTTCTATGGTATGTGCAAGTTAAAACTTTCGACATGCATCAACTCAATACTTTCAGTTAGTCAAAGCTAGACCTAGAGAGAAACAAATTGAATGCACTCAAGTGAGCGAAAAAAGGAAACGTGAGGTCATTTTTATTGAATTGCTGAAAGTCCGTAACTATTAACCACTTTTTAGAAACCAAAAGTAGCAGCACATCATCCGAACAAATCGTGAATTCTGTCGAGGTTGATCCAGGTTTACGTGAAGTGATGATGCAAGAAATTCGGAGACATTAATTACTGCTGTTCTATTGCTCTGTAGTTTTCTCTTACGCTAAAGCATAAAACCTTAAGATTTTTGTAACTAGACACACAGGACTCTGCAAAATGCATTTGCGTCATAGTCACTGTGCACGCAGTAAATGACGGATTGTACCGCTGTCATCATATATTCGACTATCGCCCTTATGTGGTTTCGGAAGCGTTTTTTTGGAATTTCTTCCTCAAAGGTATGGGACCACCATTGACGTCATCTCATATAACTACACAGCATCTAGCGCACGGTAAAGATCCTTGCATTTGCGCAGTTTACCAGGGCCATCGTGTGAGTTTGCAAAGTCGAGTCGACTTGGTCTCGATTGAGCCGAACTGTTTATTCCTAAGGCGTTGACCATATATTACTCGTGTTACCCATGTTGCTCATGTCACTAGTGTTACTCGAGTTAGCACTGTTGTCCGTGTTACTCGTGTTCTAATGTTACCCGTGTTACCGGTGTTACCTGTTACTCGTGTTACCGGTGTTACCAGCGTTACTCGTGTTACTGACGTCACTGATGTTACTAGTGTTACCACTTCTATGGTATCGAGCAGTGAAGTGATCGTCAATATATCGCCCATCATTTCACAATTCAACAGCTATAAAAGCACTAACACTAGCAACACTACTAACACGGGCCTGTTGATGTATGGTTAAAGCTTTACAAAAACTGTTGAAGCTGCAAACGCCGAATTACTGCTTAGAAAGAATTGGGCTCTGAGAATGTCTTGTATTGTTAGGGAGTTTTCAGAGACGTTCCGAGGTAGCGAAACTTTCAACTCTTTTCTATCCAAGATGCCCGTCGACCTTTAGCAATCCTTCGTTTGGAGACGGTCAAATGTTTT